GTCGCCGGCAAAAATGGGCGGCGGCGTCGGTGACGGAGGAGGCGGGGCAAGGGTTGCTTGTTGGCCGGGGGGTGAGAGGGGAGGCCAATGTGCCACAGACCAGCGGGCCCGAGGACAGGAGTAGGCGCGCGCGCGTCCGTCTCGTGTCCGTGCCGACGCAAATCCGGCTCAAAATTGGGCCGGGAATGGGTCGCCCACGGACGAAAAACGGACGCGCGTCCGTTTGGGTCGGCGCGTTGGGCCACCTTTTCTGTCCGCGCCGACTCAAACGGACAGCCTCAGACGAAATGGGTCGCCCCATTGAAGTTGCTCTAAAAAGAAAATTTTGCCCGGATCTTCACGGAAGATCGCGTGGATATATCATCTACTGAGGCTTTGTTAAGTCTCGGTCCACCGAGATTTAGCGATCCCTATACCCTAAATAATCCTCAACGCTTGCGGTTTTTAGTAAAGCAGAGGGTGCCGTGCGCAAAAGCGCCACCAATCCCATCCTAAATCCTCCGCTACGTAATCACTGACCCAGAGCTAGAGCCACTACGACGACGGCGACGGGGAGTGCGCAGTGACGCGACGAGCTACACGGAGACAGCGCTACTCCGAGAAAAGCAAGGCGAGAGGCACACCCGGTCAGGTCTCCCCTGGACTCTTCGAGGAAACAAGCCAGGCAGAGCCAACTCGAAGCAGAGAGAGAGAAAAGGGCAGAGTTTCCAATCGGCGGGAGGGGTCGCTCCACTCTGGCCGGAGGCGGAGGGAATCCAATCGTTCATCCATTCATCCCGCGACCAGGTAATTAAAGCGAGCTCATACCATATCTCCCTGCTTTGAGTTCGGTTCGTTACATGCGGAGCTGTCGATTTTGCCCGGCCCCCCGACATGGATTCGGGCTTCTGGGAATTCTTGGGGAAGATTTATTCCGAGGGTTCTGTGCATTCCTGGGCTCCCACTTTCTGGTCAACTGGTGCCCCTTTGGGGAATTGATCAAGTCAATACGCACGCGCAAGACTGACTTGGTTCTAGGAGTACTTCTTTCTAGTTACGTGAGCTAGCTGCCCTTGGTTTGGAACTCATACATTAGCAACCAACTGCTCCCTCCGTTTCAAAATACTTGTGGTTTTAGTTCAAATTTGAATGAACTAAAACTACAGAACGGAGGTTGTAGTTTCTGTTATGTCCTTAACTCGTTATTTCATTTGGTTTGATTGATAGGCATGTGCTTAGATCATCTTTACATGATATATTCCGCAGTCTGCAAGACTGTGTGCACCTGTTCTGTTTCCAACGGATGAGAAACAGAGCAAATACGCTGGCAAAAGACAAAGAATCCTCTTGGATGGCCAGAAGAAGACCGCATGGATTTCATCGACTGCATATATAGTTTTTGGCTGCTTAACTGGCAATTAAAAACACCGCTGGGACAGGAACTTGAGACGCTCTTCTTGTTTAATCATGATGTTTGTATATTTTCCGGAGAGAAAAGTTGCAAATTCGTCGCCTTTCCCTTTTGTTCGGCTTTATGCCTATATGGAAATCCAATAAGGTTAGGTGGAACAGTTGCTGAATAATTGCAGGGATGAAAAGGTCAGTCTGTAGAAATGGGTGACGATCATAGCCATTATAGAAACATGTCATAGTTTTCTGGGAAAAAAAAACTCTTGAACTGGCTGCTCTGTTCGTAATACTATACCTTCAGTCAAGCCATGAAAAACACATAATATTATTATTGTTGAAAATTGGCAAATACTCCCTCTGTAAAGAAATATAAGAGCGTATAAATCACTACTTTGGCGATCTAAACTCTCTTATATTTCTTTACGGAGGGAGTACTCTACAACACTTCACACTTGAGTTCGTTCTCACAGCTTATTTTCTCTGTATTATGTGGAGGCTTTCGTTTGTCTTATGTACTTCTCTGGCTTTGCCTTCACCTTCTATAAAAGCTTTGCCCTCGTTTTGTTTGAAATTTCTTCAGGAGAACATCTTGTCAAAAAGGCTAATCCTGCTGAATGCAATAAAACGAGAGGACCTGTGAGCAGTCAGCGATTTATCCGCTAACATGGAAAGTATCGATAGCACTCATCGCAGGGACGCAAGCATGCAGGGTGCTGCAGAGCCGGCACCAGTTCTTGCAGAAAATCTAGATCCATCGTTGGAGATTCAAGAAAAGCTACCTCACAACTTGACAGAGCAACAGGAGAACTTGAATACCGTTGTAGGTCTAGAAGTATCCAACAATTCCTTGAACGACAAGACAGATGACACAACTTCCACAAATAACACTGAAAAAGTGAACAACATATCTGATAGTGGTTCAGGCAGTGGCAGTATAATGGTAACAAGTGCAAGAAAATCTAACGGGGACAATATGGATCATCATGCAAACATTGCGGCCACCCCAAATAAGAGAGCAGTAACTGAAAGCAGGCCATACAAAGGTCTTGTTGATACTGCTGCACCATTTGAGTCTGTTAAAGAGGCTGTTACCAAGTTTGGAGGAATTGTTGACTGGAAAGCATACAGAAATCATACAATGGAGGTAATGCACTTCCTCTTTTAGGAACACATTTAAACTTTTGTGTTGTAGACTACTGCATATAATAATTACAGAACTTCGTTTATATTATATGCAGAGGCGCGGGGCTATGCAACTTGAACTTGAGAAGGTTAAACAAGACATTCCACAAGTCAAACAAGGTTCAGAAACTGCTGAAATGGCAAGATCGCAAGTGGTCGAGGAGCTAGAGACAACCAAAAGACTTGTAGAGGAGCTGAAGCACAAGCTGGAGAGAGCACAGGTTGAACTAGAGCAATCAAAGCAGGATTCTGAACTTGCACAGCTCAGGGCACAAGAAATGGAGCTGGGGATCGACAATGGAGCTAGTGTAGTAGCTCAAACAGAGTTGGCAGTAGCCAAAGAACGGCATCAAAAGGCTATTGAGGAACTGAAGATGGTCAAGGAGGTATTAGGATCAACACAAGAACAGTACACCACTTTAATAACTGAAAGGGATGCAGCAATCAAGAGAGCAGAGGAAGCTGCTTCTTCTGCGAAGGAGACAGAGAAGCGAGTCGAGGAGCTTACTCTAGAGCTATTCGCATCCAGAGAATCTCTCGAGTTAGCACACACCGCGCATCACGACGCAGAAGAACACAGGCTTGGAGCGGCTTTGGCAAAGGAGCAGGATTGCCTGGCCTGGGAGAGAGAGCTGCAGCAGGCGAAAGAGGAGCTGCGGCAACTCGATGAGCAAATCCTATCCAAAACCTCTGCGCAGTCCAAACTTGATGGAAACAAGGGCATTTTGCTTAGGCTCAGTGCTGATCTGGCTGCCTATATGGCAAACAAATCGAGCGAAGAAGATGGAGCAGTTGAGGAGCATGGTTCTGAGGAAGATAGAGAAATGAGCAGGTCAATCAAGCAAGCTCTAGCATCAGCCAGAATGGAGCTTGAGGATGTTAGAGGAAACATTGCAAAAACAAATGATGAAGCCAACTTAATACGAGCTGTTGCAGAATCGCTAAGTTCGGAGCTGGAGAAGGAGAAAGCTTCACTTGTTACATTGCAGCAGAGGGAGAGCATGGCGTCCATCACAGTTTCCTCTCTAGAAGCCGAGCTCAGTAGAACAAAACAAGAGATAGAAATGGCGTACACCAAGGAAGCAGAAAGCAGAGCAAAAATGGCGGACATTCCAAAAATGCTGCAGCGAGCAGCCCAGGAGGCAGATGACGCCAAGGTGGCAGCACATTCGGCACGAGAAGAACTGATGAAGTCCAAGGAAGAAGCCGAGCAAGCCAAGGCCGCTGCCACGACTGCGGAGGTCAGGCTACGTGCAGCTTTGAAAGAAATAGAGGCGTCTAAGGCATCCGAGAGGCTGGCACTAGTGGCAGCTCAAGCATTGCAAGAGAGTAAGGAGGCTACAAGCTCTGAAGATTCTCCGAGAGTGACACTTCCGGTAGGCAAATACCACCTTCTTAGCAAGAGGGTTCATGAAGCCGAAGAGCTCACCAGCGAAAGGGTGGCGGCATCGTTGGCGCAAATAGAGCTGGCGAAAGAGTCTGAGTCAAGGAGCCTGGAGAGACTTCTTGAAGTATCCAGGAGTGTGGACCAAAAGAAGGATGCTCTGAAAATCGCATCGCAAAGGGCTGCCATGGCAGAGGAGGGGAAACTTGGCGCCGAGGCGCAGTTGAGGAAATGGAGATCTGAACACAAGCAGCTTCGAAAAGCTCATGAAGCTGCAAAACATGCATCTAGTCCTTTGAGTACTCCATTTGCTGGATACAAGGAGGCCTCTTACAAGGAAAATAAGGAAGTCCTTACAGAAGCAATATCATATATGTCAGATAATAGCATGGGTGGATTTGTTTCGGACAAGAAGCTACGGAAAAAGAAGACGTTTTTCCCCCAGATGTCCACCCTTTTCTCTAGAAAGGTGCAGACACAAACATAAAAATGACCATGTGTACACACACACGTATCTTGTTTTCCATTGTACAGCATAAAATTGTAAATGGTGTATGAAGTAAATAAGGTTGTTTTGCGAAGCCTTGCGATTTGTTGTAGACACCTACAGCTGAGGGCATACCATGTGTCTGTGAATGATGTTTGAAAATTGTAGATGCTTAAATCCATATATATGAAATATGAATTGCTCGGCATCTTCCGATGCCATTGGTATTATAATTGACCTTTCTGGCTTTCTGTATAACCAAACAGAGGAGAGTGTAAGAGCCAAGATTCAGCAAATTAAGGCAAAATAAGGGGCAGGTAACTGCAGAATGATTGGGACGTCCATCACCCAGGGTTGATGCGATGAGAAGATTTTCCAGAATTGCTAACACATGCAAATAGAAGAATAATGTCACGGCAATAGCAGGAAAATACTGATGTAAAGTATAAATAAACACTATTGGATAATCAACAAAAGATCATCCTTACCCTGTAGGTTGTAGCTGTAGGTCTGCAACACTTACGATAAATATATCCAAAATAATGTGCTACCCAGCCAAAATAATATCCCCTTTCCCTCTCTCTCTATAAAGAGATAACCAACATAAGCGTTGATGGGCTTACTTGTGAAAGCTTGAGTTCAGAAGATAGCGATTTTCTCACTGCAGAATTTTCCTTTGGGGAAATCAAATCTGTTTGATGTGAAATATAACAAGGCAGCTAGCCCTGATGGGTTCTCTGCTGAATTTTATCAGGTGTTTTGGGAAGTGTTTTTTCGCAACAAAATAATAATAACTGGGAAATGGTTAAATATGATCTCAAAGATATATTTGATAGGTTTCACAGGGGGAGTTTGGATGTTGAGAGGCTGAATCATGGGATTGTTTCTCTAATTTCAAAAGTGTCAGATAGTGATACAGAAAATCAGACCTATTTTTGCTACATGTAAGTTATAAGATACTAAGATTTTGGCAAAAAGACTGGGTCTAATAGTTGCTAGAGTGGTGTCTGACGCCCAAACTGGTTTTTATTAAAGGGTGGTACATTGTGGAAGGAGTGGTGCAACTCCATGAAACTTTGCATGAAATTTCAAAAAGCAATCAGGTCTTCTGCTAAAAATTGATTTTGAAAAGGCATATGACAAGATCAAATGGATTCGCACTTTCTGTATCAAATTATGCAAAAGAAAAGCTTTGGTAATAAATGGGGTAATTGGATCATGAATATAGTCAGGGGAAGGGTGGCTATCAAGGTCAATGACTGGGTGGGACCTACCTGCTTTCAAGGGGTTAAGACAGGGAGATTCCTTGTCACCTCTTCTTTTTTATCTTATTGTCGATGGGCTAGCTATGCTTATCAAGAGAGCACAATGAAATGGTTTGATCAAAGGCATTATACCACATCTGCTGGAGGATGGCCTTGCTATACTGGAGTCTACTGATGATACCATATTTCTTTCGAAAGATGATCTGGAGAGTGCTAAAAATATGAAACTTGTTTTATGTATTTTTGAGCAAGTATCTGGACTGAAAATAATTTTCACAAGAGTGAAATTTATTTTCTGGAAATGCTATGCCAAGGAAACTATAGTGAGAATATCACCTGTGAGATTGGTGATTGCCCTTACATGCATGCCGATGTGAAAAGGATAAGTAATGCTTATGGGATCCTGTAGATGAGAGAATTGAGAAGGTAATATAATGTCAATTGAGATAGGGCTACTTTAATTATTGTTTGCTTAAGCAGTGCCCCATTGTTTATGCTTTCATTTCTGGAAAGCACCCAAAGGGGTTTTGAAGAGATGAGATCAGCACAGAGCCAGAATATTGTGGCAAGAACTAAATATTACAAGAAATAACACCTAGTTAATTGGCCTACTGTGTGTTTGCCAAAAGACAGTGGGTCCTTTTTTGGTTGCTATGCCTCCTGGAATTGCATGAACGCCATGTCTTGTAGACCGCCAAGATCGGCGTCCGGTGTTTGGAAAAGGCCCACAAAGATATGGTCAATCCGACGAAGAGGGCGATGCAATAGGACCCCCGAAATTCATGAATTGAGGATAACTAGCCAAACAAACTCGATGAAAATGCCAAACAACAAGCACCAAATGTGGAAGCCTTTGGCAGAAGAGAACTCAAACCAACTTAACTCTCAAATTGAAACATAATCCACTCGACCGGTCTATCTATCCAATCAAATCCAACAACAAAGTACTAGACAAGATGGAGTTCTTCTACTTGATGATGTCTTGATCATCCCCACAAGGTGGAGGTCTTGGCCTTGATCATCTCCCATGGGGAGGCCTCGAAGAGGGAAGGCACCTGGCCCTCGATGTCTAGTCATATTTTCTAATACTATAAGGGTTGAGTTTGGATTTAGGTTTGTGGAATGTGATGCACCATTGAATGTGTTGCTCCACATATCAGCGCATCTTGGTCCAATGAAATAGCTGGAGAGCATCAAGTAAGTATTCTTTACTCCAAAATGTCCCATCAAGATGCATCCATGGTATACAGCCGACTTGGGAATACATAGTTTGTTAGCTCTAAAGAGAAATCCTTCATGCAAATAATAATTCTCCAACCTTTACCCTCTTTGATATATGAAAAAGGAATACCAAAAGTAGGAGTCCAAGCATATAAGTCCTTCACACATTTAAGGTCCAACACTGAAACCTCGAGTATATAAAATAAGGGTCATTTTGTGTGAAAGAGCATCCTCCAACATTTTCCTTGCCTTTTTTATGTTCACCACATAAGAAAATGGTTCAATAAATTCACGTCACTTTACCTGTGCTTTAATTTATCTTGGCCCTCAAGATACTTCAAGGAGTTCATGATCGGAGTGAATAACAAAATCCTTAGGCCAGAGTTAGTGCTTCCAAACCTCAAGCACACGAACTAACACATAGATCATTGTCATAGATGGGGTAATTAAGTTCACCGTATAATTTTCCACTATAATGTGCTACCGGCATACTTTGTTGCATAAGAACGTTGGGTATCCCGATCCTATAAGCATCACACTCATTCTCAGAAGTTATTTCTAAATATGGAAGGACAAGCAATTGTTCTTGATCTTGACACAACATAAGTATGTGATTGACTTGCTTCATCATGCTCATATGGACAATTGCAAGCCTACGTCCACACCTATGCCAGTTAGTGAAAAAGTTGTCTGATTTTGGTGTCCCTCTCATAGATGGGATTGTGTTCAAATACAAGAGTATAGTAAGTGGGTTGCAGTATCCTACGTTGACAAGACTAGATATTTCCTTTGATGTTAATAAAATACATCACTTCTTGTCAAAACCAATGTTCATTGGGAAGCAGTCAAATCAATTTTGAGGTATATCAAGGGTATGCAAACTAGATAGGGTAGGGGCAATGTTTGGATTGCGGATCTTGGTATCAGTGAGCTAGACAGGGTAGGGGCAAGGTTTACCTGGACTAATAGACATGTGGCTCCTACCCAGAGCGTACTTGACCGGGTGTTTATGTCCTTGGAGTGGGAACTTCGGTTTCCCCTAGCGACCCTACAGGCTATAACGCAGATCGACTCCGATATGTGCCCCTCCTCCTGTCGTCGAGGGATGAACGGACGTGACCTCCACCATGTTTCCGATTCAAAACCTTCTGGCTTTGCCAGCCAGGTTTTATACCGACAGTAAAGGACCACTCGGTGGGCTGAGCCTCACCGATGTATGTCGGTACTGGATGAGTGGCATCACCCAGCCAAGCGCTCTCGACAATTCATGAAGGGCTGGGGTGCTAACATGGGGCACGATCTTCAGATCCATAAGGGGACCCTACTTGCGGAGATTCAGGCTCTAGACCTCCGAGCCGATGGTGTTGGACTCTCTGCTGACTAGTGGGTACTCCGATATAGGCTCGAAGATGCTCTGATGGACCTCTACGCCAAGGAGGAGGAGTACTGGAGGCAAAGGGGATCCATTAACTGGATCCTATTTGGTGATGCCAACACGGCCTACTTCCAGGCCATTGCTAACGGCTGCCATAGGCGATGCACCATACCCCTGTTATGGGATGGTGATCAAATGATCCAGGACCCAGAAGAGCTCTGGTGCCATGTGGACGGTTTCTACAAGGCATTGTTTGTGGAACGGCCTAGAGGGGGCATCGCCCTAGCAAAGAATATTTGGACGGCTCCACAACGAGTATCGCTTGAGGAGAATAACACCGTCCTAGCTCCCTTTGATGAACCAGTGGTGGAAGCCTTCATCAAAATTATGAACCCAACGTTGGCACCGGGACCGGATGGATTTCCCGTTAGATTATTTCAGGTGTTATGGTCTACCATCAAGGAGGACATACTCGCCTTGTTCCTCGAATTCTATAGAGGAACGCTAGATGTTTCCCGTCTGAACTATGGAATTATTTCTTTGATTCCGAAAGTTCTGGGGGCAGCGGATATTCGGCAGTTCCGCTCGATCACAATTATCAACGTGATATTTTGGGTTCTGGCCAAAGGGTACACCACTAGGGTGGCCCTTCTGGCCCCTCAGAAATTTCATCTGAATCAGTCGGTGTTCATTAAGGGCCGATATATCTTGGATGGGGTCTTTGTCCTCCATCAGGTTATTCATGAAGTGAAATGGAAATGCTGCGAGCAGTTTTCTTTAAGATCGACTTCCATAAGGCATATGATACCGTCCATTGGTCCTTCCTTAGGGAATTGATGTTGAAGCGGGTCTTCGACCACCATTGGATAACACGGCTTATGCAGCTGATGTCGAGCGGACGCACGGTGATCAACATCAATGGAGAGGTTGCCCCCCTATTTCTAGATGTCTCAAGGGGTGCAACAGGGAGACCCTCTCTCCCCCTTTTTATTCAACCTAGTGGTTGACGCCCTAGCAGCTATGTTGGACCTAGCTAAAAGGACGGGTCATATCTAAGGTATTTGTCCTCACCTTATCAGGGAGGGAGGACTGACCCATCATTAATACACCGACCACACATTCCTGATGGTCGAAGGCTC